GCAAGCTCAAATTTAAGTCGTTAAGTTTTCGAAAATATCAACTAATAGCCAAACTTCATTGATATAATAACTTGCCAATCTATGTTTCTTTTCGATTTAGAACATATACACTTCATTTCTCAAATCAAATATCCGTCGTAGTATTTTCCCACGTGAAAGCCATCTGACTTCGGTGAGTAACAGTAATTTCTCATACGTTGAGCCCATCTCATTGCAAAGTATTGAAAAGAGATGGCTGTTGTGGCTGTTGCATTTAATGTAGTTAATTGAACTAACAGCGTCTTGTAATACGTTGTGCAACTCTTCATCCATATCTTTTGCAACAAGAGCTTGCCGATGAATCATACAGTGATTAAATACCATATGAGTCGCCACCTTCTGAATTAAGCCTCTGAGCCCTTTATTCGAACCTGTTAATGCTGCAGCACCATCAGTGCAAACCGCAACACAGTTTGCCCAGGTTAGGGACTTAGTTTCAAAATATTCATTTATTACTTCGAATATTTTTTCACCAGTTGTTTTTCCTTCCAAACTTTTGCAACATAAAAACGTTTCTGTTATATCTTCATTAAAAATAAACCTAACGTAAATAATTAGTTGTGACATTTTAGTAATATCGGTTGTCTCGTCCAGTTGTAAAGCAAATACAGATGAATTTTGTATGCGTTTTATGACTTCTGACTCGATATTTCGTGACATTTCGGAAATCCAATTGCAATTAAACAGTAAGTGACGGCGCTTCACTCTTTATATGTACACTGTATGGTATGCAGCATGCAGGGATAATGCATTTCATAAAAATTTGGCGACCCCCACAGGGGTCGCGACCCCTAGTTTGCGCACCACTGTTTTAATCCACCACTATTTCTAAATAATTCGTTGGCTTATATAATTCGCCACTTTTTTCAGATATGTCATGCTAAACCTTTTAAAAACTAGCAAAATCTGTCTAATATTTGCAAAATTAGTTTGTAGTTATTTACCGTTGTGGCCTGACGGGCAAGACATGTAAAATTAGCGTGGCGTTCAACGTTTTAATTATCTATCACATTTATTCCCGATTATTGTCAACCTGAAAAACTACCACGAAAATATATAATAACGTAGCTACCAGAAATATTAAAAAAGTAAAAGTATGAAATTTGAAATTGCTCCATCTGCGCACCTTAGTATGTGTGGCAGTAAGAGCTTTTTTTAAGTCTAGAGATCTTAATTGGTCTCTTGACATGTGAATGAATAATAGGTACATGGAAAAGTAATCGTTTACAGGGTTTTCGAAAAAATCTAGTTTTATATATAAAGCGGTTAGGATTTATGTTCGTCTAATGCAATTCTTGGTTTCATAAAGGTTACAGCGCAAAACTTATGGAAATTAATTATCTATCATATTTTTCCCGGTTATGGTCAAAATGCGAATTAACCACAAATGCGAAAACCAAGAATTTTAGTTTCATACCAGATCAGAAACATAAGAAGCTACAAGAAATATTAAAAATGAAAAAGTATGAAATTTAAAATTGCTCCATGTGCTAGGTTGCGGTTTTAAGCTGTTTTAATTTAATTCTAGGTCTTATAAAGGTATCTGAATAAAGCTTATCTAAATTAATCATCACATTTTCCCCTATTATTGTCTACCTGTAAAACCTCCACGAAGTCATAGAATAACGTAGCTGCCAGAAATATTAAATGTGAAAAAGTATGAAATTAAGAATTGCACCATCTGCGCAGCAAGGCAAGTGATATAAATATTCAGTATTTCCGAAGTCTGGAGACCTTAATTGGTCTCTTGCCATGTGAATAAATAGTTGATATATGGAAAAGTAATCATATACAACTTTTTTGAAACGTTTTGTAAATTATTACTTTTTACTGTTATACTGGATTTATGCTACAGCCACCACACAGTCTGCTAACCTCATGTAGTTCTACTACAACTATTCAAATAAACATGATGTATACATACCTGCCAACTTTCACTCTTTC